AGTATAACAATAATTCACATGACATTAGAAGCACTATGCATTTAGAAGACCAAAATAACAGGTATTTCAATCATGGTTTTAGCATTATACATTGCTATTCTCATTTTTGTTGCTTAGATCACAGATATTAGCATATATATTTAGTCAGGGTGAGAATTCTACCCATTAACTGTTATTTTCAAAATAGCACCTACTGAAATTCTTACCCAAGGGAGATTATGTGGGTAAGGCATTTACATTTTTGTATTTACAAAATGGCATTAGAAGACAGAACTACAATTAGGAACAGTAATAATCAGTAGTAATAATATTTAGCAGTTGGCACATTTTTGTTACTAATGGACTTGGATTTTAGACCATAAGAGCAAACATTATATCTGTGTGGCTAAACAGATATTAAATTGGGAATTTGTAATAAAATTACTTCCTCTAAGTTCTGTCTGATCATCTCCCCTTGATGTACATGGGGTCTTCCAGGCAGACTGGTTCACCCTGGTTATCTGTTGCCTCCTCTTTTGGTCAGCAGAGAAAGAGAGGATGCTGTGATAGATCTGGGTCTAGTAAAGTGTCACTGGGTCCGGATGTACCACATTTGCACTTGTCCAGACGTGCCTGACCTGGTTCTGGCTGCTGTGATCAGTTTCTTCCTGCTGAAGCCCATGGAAGTGAACCCACTCTGCCCCTCTGGCAAGTTGTTCAGCCCTGGATTAGCTGGGTAGGTCTGGCTTCTAGCCTCTCTGCAGGAGTTCTGCTACAGGGTTCTACACCAGACCTGTGTGATGGAGGAGGTGCACAGGAGAGTGAGGATGATCCCCCACACACACACACACCGGGCCTGGGCTCTGGCTTGAAAGGGGTATGAGGAGTGGAGAGCAGGTGGAAGGTCTCACACATGTCCCATATGCACAATACATATTAATTAAACAAGAGGGAGTGGGAATTCTATGAAAAATTATTCACTGCCCTCTTGCTAAAGAACCCTGGTATGGATGGGCCTCACTGGACTTAATTTCATAGGAATTACATGGAAGATTTGAATGTGTGTGCATTTTTCTGGCAAGAGAATCTATAATTTTCTCCAATTTCAAATGTATTCATTTTCTATACCTTCACAAAAGGTTTAGAAATTCTGTTCTCATTTTGACATCAGATGTGGTGAACTAATCCCAACAAAGAGATCAGGTCCTGTCTGGTCTGAACAAAGTAATTTGACATTGCTGTCATTTCTTGTCTTCTTCTACTCTCTAACTATTAGCTCTGTTGCCCTGTATGTCAAAATGGGTATTCATGTCTTCCTTTTAGAAGCAAAAGGAGTGAAATATGATAAAGCATATGGCTTATTGCTTAGTAGGTGGAACACTTTCAATAATGCTAGCCTCCTTTCTGCTTCTTGCCAGTGGGTTTGATGTTCAAGTCATGAATTTCCAGGTCAAAGACCTAAAATTTTCCTGAACATATTGTTGATATTAACAAACTTCTGAAGCTTTCACCATGAATTATTGGAATGGATTTAACACAACTCTCCTATTTTCCCTTCCAAATGAAAATATGTGTACTTGAATGACAGTTCCAATTTGCCTTAGACCTCAAACAATTAAACTGTCCTAATCATTTATAAACAATTATGAATGTCTTTAATCAGCATTACATTTAGTAGCTCCTTAGTGGAGTGGGTCATAGGAAGTTGCAGACTCCAAAGCTACTGGGTGAAATGGCTGATTTAAAAAAAAAATCTAAATGTTGTGGTACATGAAAAGTAATGTGATTGCCCTGCATGTTAGATAGAATAATATATCTTAATGGACAGCCCTGACCTGAAATCAGTCAACTTCTTTATATCTGATTTTGGTTGTTGTGAACTGAGAAAAAAAAAGAATTACTGAAAACCAAGCAGAGTGCTAACATTCTGAAAGCTTCCCTGGCTAGAAAATGTATCCAGGTTGCTTGGTTTTCTGAGTCTCATCTTCATCTTCAAGAGCATGCTTCTCCTTCCCTCCTGTCAATGTAGATAAACCCTGCCCTAGGTCTGACCCCATCAGAGATGGGATTCTAGAAATTATTGCTTTTCTCTGTTACCATGTCCACATTTCCCTCTCTCCTGCATCATTCTCACTAACACATATCCATACTGGTATTTCTCCCATCTTAGAAAAAGGAACAGAACTCATTCTCTTCTCCCTTCTCCAGCTACTGCCTGCATTTCTTTACTTTGCAGGAGATGCCTCTCCTTTCTGTGGCTGAAGTCTCTGACCATCAGCTCCCTTCCACTAATCCCCTTCTTATTACACTGGGATTATAATTTACTGAAATAAATTTTGTTAAGAAAACCCAAAGCCAGGCCAGGGGAGATAGCCCAGTAAAATAAGTGCTTGCCTGGCAAGTGCAGGGTCCTGAGTTTAATCCCCGGTACTGCAAAAAAAAAAAAAAAAAAAAAGGAAAAGAAAAAGAAAAGAAAACCCAGTAGGCCCTTATGTAGGTATCTTCCTTGATTATAGGAAACTTTCTTGTATTTCCCTCCCCTCCCTAGAGTGCCCAGAGTTAAATTTATGCATCATCTTACCATATGAGTTCTCTTTTGGTGATCTCATCCAGATTTAGATTTGATACCAGGTTCATGGATGCATCTCTTTACTCAGAATTTTTGTTTGAGTAGCTTTCCCAAACTCTGTGTGCTGCTACCTAATCACCTGACCTTCCTGCCAAAACACACTCAATTGTTACCCTGCCAGTTGCAAATGAATGCCATTACCACCCTTGCAGTTTCTCAAGCTGGAAACGTTGAAAGTCCAGCGAAAAGTGTTCCATGTCTCTCACATCCCATATCCAATCTATAAGTGAATTTTACTCACCCAACCCTTAAAATCTTACCATAATCAGATCACTTCTTTCTTCCTTTATAACTTGTACTCTGACCCAAGTTCATCCTCACTCCTGACGGTAGTAGCATCCTAGCTGGTTTCCCTGCTCTCCTATAATCTATCTAAATCCTGTAGCCATCAAGCCCCTCTTGACACAGAAGTCAGATCAGGTAATGTTTTTGCTCCCAGTGATTTCCCTGTGCATTCATCCTAGAACCCAAGTGTTTATGGTCATTTAAAAAGCTCTATCAAGTGGTTCTTTTCTCTGATTAATTGGACCTCATTACCTCTACTCCCTCTACTAAAGCCACCTTGGCCTCCTTGCATTCCTTTGAATCACTCCAAAAGTACTTGCAACTCAGGGCATTTACACTTGATGTTCCCTGGAACTAGAACACACACATCCTAGACATCCATGATATCAACCCTCTCCTGGTCTTCAGTCTTCACTTCTTTGTTTTGTTTGCATTTAAATCTTCCCTTGACTACCCCAATGAATTGCAATTCCTTTCCTGTTCTAGTGTTAGTATACCCTATACCAGTTTGTTTTTTTTAAAAAATTTTTTCTCCATAGCACTTGTCTTTTTCTATCACTTAATTGACTTTTTAATTGAGTGTTTCTTCAACTGGAATATAAGCCTTAAGAATGCAATGACTTTTGTTTTGTTCACTATTATATCCTATGTCTAGTCATCTATAAATACAGAATCCAGTAAAAAAATGTACACACATCTGGAAAGGAAAAAGTTGGATAATATTTTAATACTAAATTTATTAGGACATTATGAGATTGACACTATTACCTTTGGCCTCTACAATCAATCATAAGAGGTGTTCAAAGTTTTAGGCATTAGCTTCCAGACTTAGTACAGTGAAGTACTGAAGTGTGTGTACATTTTGGTGAGCTCTGTGTTTATTGGTTAAATAAATGAATTTACTGTTGAAATATGTGGCATCTAATGTTGTGACTCTTCCATGATTATTAATTTTAACCCCACAGCACATAACACTTCTGGAGCCTGGCATGAAAGTTACATTTAACATTCAATTCGTGCTGAACCTTTTGGGGCAGTATTGGAGGGCAGGTGATTTGGATACAATAAGACTCTCTTTGATGTTACTTTTCTTTAAATTATATAAAATTTTAAACCTTTATGAGTCAAAAAAGCTTCAATTTCTAGAATTTAAAGCTGAAAATATTTTTTTATAATCAGGCATTCCAATTTTCACATATCAGATTGCAGAAAAATTAGGTTCAGTAACTTAACCTACGGATAGGGCAGATCCAGCGCTGGGACCGTTGCCTTCTGAATCTAAAGTCAGGCCAAGTCCATTGCAGTATGTCTCCCTTTTCCACCAGAGTTGTCTCCTCTACCACTTATGCTTCTTTCCTGGGATACTGGGGCAGCCAGATTACCCCTAATGCAGCTGTAGTAGGCTGGAAGGTCCAGAAGGCATTTCCTGTCATTTATAGTATGTAGCCTTTGCCTGGTGACCAAAATTGTTTTAGTCTATTAGTGTGACTGCAGCTGTACTTTTATGTTAGCACAAAAGATGTCCCTTGAGAGAGAGCTGGCAGCATTAGAATAAGAAATTTAGCTTACAAGTCCCATGTAGACTAAGCAATCAGGCTTAAGTTCAAGAGGCAGAAATGCAAGCAAACTGATATAAAAAATGGAAAATCTCAAGAGCACAATTTTGTCTTTCTGTTATCTGTAAAAAATATTAAAAATAACTAATGAAAATGTAATTGCAAAACCCTAAACTCCAACATAGAGCCTTTATCGAGATGGTTATTCATTTAAGAGGCACCATCTTTAGCAGCACTTGTTTGTGATGTAGCTTCAGATTTATATACAATTTCCCTTCTCAATGTCTACTTTTATGTCCAGAACTGGTTGCTGGAGTTCCAAGAGGGGCACAGAACTTCGGATATGTGAGTACTGAGAATCCATTCTAAAATATTTCGTTGCCTATGCCAATAAATATTTTCCTGCATGTAACTTTTAAGTCTTCTAAAGTTTCCTTTAGTAATAAATTCCTCCAAACAATCAAGGCATTTTCTTACAAAGAAGGAAAGAAACTAAGTTAGGCTAGATAGTTCCATTATTTGTGGAATCAAGTACAAAATGAAAATATGAGGAAAATTTCTTTTTAAAAAGACTTATAGCTATCAAAAGTTTTAGATCATTAAAAATGTCAAAGCAAAACCAAGGTGACCTATCTAAGCCCCTAGTCATGTACAAGGGTGGCCCTGTCTACATGCACAATCTAAAAGTATTCTAGAAGTTGCACTCATATCCACCCTTAATATATCTCATATGGCTGGAATGGTAAAATCAAGTTTTACTTCACTAATACATTGTGTTGCAAAGGTCACTTAAAACAACATATATTTATTATCTCATAGCCCTGGAGGCCAGAAGTCCAAAATTACGCTGTGGTCATGGTCATGCTGTCTCCAAAGCATCTAGAGAAGGATTCTTCTTGTCCCTTCCAGTCTCTTGTGGCTCCTGACTTTCCTTGGCTTGTGGCAACATCACTCTCATCTCTACTTCCATCTCCACAGTCTTCTTCCCTGTATCTCTGTGCGTATCCTCTCCTTTTTATAAGGGCATCAGCCATTGGGTTTAGTGTCAAATAAGATGAGTTCATCCTGAGGTCCACATCTAATTTCATCTACAAAGACACTATTTCCTAATAAGGTCAAGTTCTTGGGACTCAGGTAGATATGAATTTGAGACAGATACAGTTCTAGCCCATTATAACTAATTATCATGAAATTAAGAAAAAATATGCATACAGCTTTATATATATATATACACATATATACATATATATGTCAATGTTTACTTTTTGTAGACATTTAGAAAGCATAAATTATTTATAGATTTGAGTTTGGCTTAATAGGATTAAAATAAATGCTTTTGTTATGTGGATACCTCTTAAAAACATTTTTTTGCAGAAAATCATAATTATCAGTTCTTATAGCATAAGAACAGAGACAGATTTAGATGACAATTATGATTAAATAAATTAACTGACAATCAGGTCAACTGCTTTCAGTGTTCTTAAATTCAATTTCTCTTTACTACTTCTGCATGAGTTTTGTCTGAAAATACCCTAGAGGGCCGGGGAGACAGCTCAGTAGAATAAGCGCTTCCCTGGCAAGCGCAAGGGCATCAGTTCAAACCCCAGTCCTGAAAAAAAAAAAAAAAAAAAAGCTTGACAATATCCTAGAATTAATGTTATCAAAAAGTTTAATGAGCTTTCTTATTATCTTTGTGGGTTTACATTTTTTGCTACATATGAGTAATCATTAATTACTCTTCACATAAAATTTAACTAATTTGAATTATGATTAATAAAACTCCACTTTCTATTTTTAATTGAGAAATCCCTTCTATTTTTCTTCATCATTTTTTAAAGAGAGTATGAATTAGAATTAAAACAGAGATTATAAATGGCACATTATTTCACTTAACAAAGTAATATGAATTTCACAGCATTTGCTGTAATACATGTGTTGTCTTCCAATCAGTTATTCATATTACCAGATATGCATGTAAAATTGGAAGATGAAAGAAGAAAAGAAAGAAATGTATAAGAAATTATGAAAAGAAAAAGTACAAACAATTGAAAAGAGGAGACAAAACAAACTAAATATTATCTGTTCCTTTCCATAGGTAAAAAAAATGCACAGTACAGTTGTCCAAACCATCCTGCTTACATATTTAGATATCTCTTTCCCCCACTTCCTCTCGTGACCTTCTCAACTCACTAATTCTATGTCAACTGATGTAGCTATCAAATTTCTATGATTTCAGGTCTCGATCATTAACTCTACAGATATGACTTTCATTCAGAATTTCACTGGTGAACAGGTAAAGACATTTTAATGTGAAATAAAGTCACTCTATGCTTACAATATATGTTAATACTCCTATCATTTAATAATTCACTTAGGAAATAGTTGATGAACACCTACTATGTGCTGCAAACTTTTCTAGGCACTGGGGTTGCAACAGTGCTTCAGGCCACTGGATCCCAACTCTTGTGCAACTATGTAGTAGATGAGGCATAACAGGACAGTTAATTAAAAAACAAATAAATGTTAGTGATAATGCAATATGATGTTCAGAAATATAAGGAAAATAGATATTTATATAACATGGTGAGGGTGGCAGAGACACTAAGAATGGGTTTGTTGAAGGGGCAACATCTAATACAAAGATAATAACAGCTCCAACAAGACAGTTTTGAAACAGCAGCCATCTGGGCACATCCTAGGACACAGTGAATGCCACAATGGCTTAGACAAGCAGGAGAGAAGTAGGAACTCTGGAAATGGGGATAGAGACTTCTCCCATGAGCCTTATCAACCCTCTCATTTCATGTCATTTTTTTCAATAAGTTCCCATTCAAAATTTATGCTCTGCCTTGAAGCTGACATTAATGTCTGTGTGATCTCCTTTCTTGACAAGTGTTGGACATTTAACCCTCCAGGGACTCCCGTTCTAGAAATGGCAATAAAAAAAAAAATTCATGTCCTATTTAGCCAGGTCTCCTGGCCATTGTACATTGCACTTAAAAATGAGAGTTCACTGAGGCCAGGGCTGGAATGGAGCAGTCTCAGTGAAGTGACTCAGTAATGACAAAGGCAAGTGACAGCCTGAAAGTGGTAGCTGCAGTTGCTTGAGAAGCAGCTGGGAATGATAAGGAGCTGTGATTCAGATAGGTGCAGGTCATTGGTAATGTGGAGGATATACGCTCTCACTGACAGTGTACATAAGGGTCTGTGCACATGTATGTGTGTGTTATTGTTATTATTTTTGTTTGTGAGAGAAATAAACATGTCTAAGAACAAAGAGTTCAAGGAAAAGGACTGAAAGAAATGTTAATGAATGCAGGTAGAGGCTCCTTTCTTGTCTGCATGTATTGTCATGGCTTTAGGAAATAAAGAATCCCAGGAGAGAAGGCTAGAGCATGTACTTGGTGTTTAGGACTTTCACAGCCTCTCTCAGTGCTGGACATGGACACAGAGTTGCACAGGATGGTGGACTCTGTTTCTTAAAAGTAAAATGCCATGGATTTCTGGAACAGGAGTGCAGCCTTGCTATGTTTCAGGAGCTCCTGTAAGGTAGTGGATTCTTCATGCCAGCGCTTCTTCTTAGATGACTCAGGCCATTCTGAAGTTCCATCCTACATCTCAGAGCACATGGACATGGACCTGTGCCTCAGTTGTTCAGGGTAACTGGAACCCACCCCCAGTTCTCAATGTAGTATGGAATCTCAACAAATTATTAGTTTTGAGCACTTCCTCCCAGAGAATAGATATTAATCTCTACACATTGTTGTGAGCTGAGGTCCTACTGTGAATGTGTCACAGGCCTGAAAATAATCCACCACTCTTAACCAAATATTATGTGAGGTCACACCTTACCTGCCACCCTCACTGTTGCTGGGTATTGTAATATGGTAAAATTTGGCACTTTATTTACTGAATGTGATATAGCCATCTAAGCGATCCATGCCACAAAAATGGGTCATCAAAGTTATAAACAAACATAAAGTGTTTTGGGTATCTTTTTTTTTAAACCAAAATTTAGGGCTTTAGTCCACTTAATATTGTGAAAGTTTTACAAAGCATTTCATATATCTCCTGAGTCTCTGTGGAAGATTTGGAAAAATGACCCCAAGTGAAGTTGATTAGATATGTAAATTTTGAACAACTATTTCTATGTTGTTTTTAAAATGTGGAAATGTATGGTACACAGCTTAGATCCATGGAAAAGATTTGAGAGTGTTCATTGACTGTAAACTCAATATAAATGGATACTGAGGTATGAAACCATGCCCCGGGGGAATTTTTTTTAATACTTCATTAATATAAACAGTGAAAAGCCAAGAGTATAAAATCACTTAATCCTTCTGTGCTCTTGGTTATCTCACACAGTACCTCTAAGAAACAGGGATCAGATAATAGATAATCTGAAAATATTCTCATGAAACTTCATATGGAGGTGAGATGAGATTATCCTATATGATTTAAAACGGCAGAATAGAAGGGGTTGAACACTAGAAGTTGTGGAAGGGCCACATTTAGCAAAGAACATTCTTAGAAAGAATTGAATGGGATAATTGTACAACATATCCAGAGGATGTCCAAGCAGCTGTCAGGGTTATTACAGAGAAAATTATTCACTGGGCCAAAGTTTAAACTAAATGACCTGAAGAATCGGACCACATCCAAGAGTCAGCAAATCTACATGCAACAATGTACCATAATGGGTTACGTCCTTCAGGCAAAATAAGAGGTGACTATAAAAAGGACTTGTGGAACACAAAATATGTCATTCTTATGGTTTTCTTTTGCAGATGGCATCTTATTTTGGATATACTGTTGTAGTATCAGATGTTAACAATGATGGGTAAGTTTGTACAAACTTCCTCCTCACTGGATATTATATTCATCCATAAATATGTTGTATTTTTCCTTTATGAAACACTTCCTTCCATACTTCTTCAACAAAAAAGAGGCCTTCTTGTTTTAACTTTTCTTTTGGACTCAGGACAAGAGGATGCATCTAATAAAGAATTCTGTCATCCTGTTTTTATGTCTTTACTGAGATTTTCCACATCTGCCACCTCTAAAAGAGGACTCTGTCAATTTATTTTTAGTTTTATGAAGTGAGTAGTCCAGGGATGAATTGGGGAGGGCCAGAAGACCTTTTAGGTTGTTGAAGCTATTATTTGACACTATCCTTGTACCTTTATTAAGACTTATAGAATGCATGACACTAAGCATGGGCCTGATATAAACTGTAGATTTTGCTCAATAATACTGTATGAAATGTGGATTTATGGATTAGAATGTGCTATTCTTTGGTTGGGGATATAATGTTGGAAAGGCTTGTATGGCAGGGAATTAATGTGAGAGCACTACACTTTCTGCTCAAGCTTGCTTTGAGTCTAAAGTTGCTCTATAAAATAAAGTATATTAATTACAAATTAAAAAGAAAATTGCAAGGAGATAGGAGATCAATAGGGTTATAAATTTATTTATATATTTTTATTTATTTTCCCATAATTTTATTGATAAATAAATAGCAATGAGACAGTTTCAAATCAAATTGGTAGGACAGTTTCAATAATTAACACATTGCATACATTCTTCCTAGTGGTTAATTGCTGTACAAGATGCAGACATGACAACCTATTTACAAACACCATTAGAACAAATCACTCTATTCATCAAGAGAATGTAACTATATATCTATCCTAACCACTTTGAATACACAGATACAAAATGGATATTCATCTGTATACCCCTTTTTTGTTAAGTTCCGTTATTTGAATATTATAGGTGTGTAAACTCAGCAAAATATTCTAAAAGAGTCCAGTAGCCCATAATAGCAATGGGTCTGCAGTTTAACTGGAAATGTCAGAAATTGTTGACCTGAGTCCCCTACAGCTCAACATAACATGGCTTTACTTCTTATTTTCGTTTTTATACTTTTCTGCTGAATGGTTAAGATGAAGGTAAAGCAGGACCTATGCAACAAGAGTTGTAGCTTTTGGGTCTGATAAGGTCAGTGAAATCCCCTCAGGATTTATCCTGAGATCCTGTACCTCAGATTGTAGAACCTTTGTCAGTGTCAGCCATGTGGATGAGTCACGACCATTGCTTTGCTCTCTGTGAAAGCCTGAGAGAATGTTTTCTCTCCATGTGACTCTCCTTAGAAACACTCTACATCATCAATCACTTTCCTCTTTGGCCCCATAATCTCCTTGATCAGAAAATTTGGGACACTACTGAGTTACATGACTATCACCATGCACTAAACTAAAGTCAAAATGGATTAAAGATCTAAACATTAAAGCAGAGACACTAAATCTCCTGGAAAAGAAAGTAAGAGGAACTCTTGAAGACATAGGGGTAGGCAAAGACTTCATGAACAAAAATCAAATCGCATGGGAAACAGCTGAAAGAATTAACAACTGGGACCTGCTCTTACTGAGAAGTTTTTTCACGTCAAAAGAAATTACCAACAAAATGAAAAGGCAACCCACAAATTTGGTTTATAAATTTATATCAAACAAATGGCAAAGAGCTTAGTGATAAGAACCTGTAGATAAAGCTTCCTAGCTAGGCTCTACCTGGCTTGTTGTCATGGGCAAGGGAATGCAGGACTATGGCTTGGACCAGAGCAGAAAGAGTGGTAGGGAAGAGTTGCACCATAGATGTAGTTCAAAGGTCTAATCCAGTGTCCATCTTGCCCTAATGAGATTTAACATTACTTTGCCTTAATCTTCAGTTGTCTGAGGACCACCAGTCAAGATCCCTTCTGAACTGAGAATAGCCAGAGCATGGCAGTCTTTTAGGTGTGCATGGAATCCGTCATCTCAGTAGCCAGCCACAGCACAGGGCCTCCCACCCTAGGTGCCAGGCTGCATTTTCTAGGCCACAGAATCTTTCTGTATGCTCCCCCTTGGAGGTTGAGCCCATGTTTTTCTTTTCTTTTTTTAATTAAATTTAATTTTAATATTTCATCTTGAAAAGTAAAAGACAAAAGCAGAAACAAAAATAAGCAACAATGACAGAAACAGGGTAACATCCAACAATGCATATGTTACAGATTTTCTGAAGAAGAATAGCTGATCAACAGTGGTTGATATAGGATCTATTTTTATAATCAAATCTGTTGCTCAGATTAACAGATATAGTTATATAAGATTGGACATATGATTTCATATTAGTGCTTGTTTTCCAGAAACCTAAAATTTTTGTTCTTACAATGTGTAATACAAAAATCATGCTTGAATGCTTTTCATCTTGGCCTTCTAAATGTGCACCATTTCTAATGTCATATTAATTATTACTATATTCTTTTCAAAATAATTTTTTTAAAGACAAAGAGAAAAGAGGGGCTAAACCCATTTTCAACCCTGCTGTCTTTCTTAGATTTCACAGTATGCCTCAAGGGTATTCTATTCGTTCCTGGAAATGTCCCTATTTAGAGCACAGCAAAGTCATGTGACAGTGTTTGTAGTACATATTTCTGCCAAGTTAAGGAAAAAAAAAAACTTTCAAAAAGGACTTGCATGGTTTCCTGCTGATTAAAACAAGGAAATATCAAATGCAGGAATGCTCAAGTGATAAATTTGTTCTTTCTTGATATTCTTCAAAGCTTCTGTGAGCCGTGTTTCTTTTTTTATTAGTTAAAAATTCCTAAATTATTTAGACAAAATTAAAGAATTGTTCCTTTAACTATAATATTTCCATTTTTAAAGATAAAGTGCCTATAGATTCTAAATGTGATAACTTGCTAATTTTACTTCCATACAATGGAAATTTAGTCTTTTGTTGTAAATGAATACATTCTGGAAACAGTTTAAAATAGTCAAGGAAAGATCCAGATAAAGACATAGAACTCAGAGGAAGCCTGAGATTAAAATAAATCAAGGGGTCAGATGTTGTTCATGGTTGAGAAGTTAGGACCTTTCACACACACACTGATGGGACTGAATCAGACTTTCTCCAATCTGGAGATAATCAAGCATGGTAGTGTACTAGAGCACCGAATGAGAACTTATGTATCAACTCTGCAACAAAATGAAGTTCTTTATAAGTGCTCCAAAATCCCAACATCAGAAAAAAAAAAAAGTGTTTTAGAGTAACCAAGTAAGCAAATTGTTGGAAGTTTCCCCAATGCTTATTACTAAGAAATATCTCCCAGTATTATATATGAACTTTAAAAGTTTAGACCAAACAGTTGTATGCCTGTTGGTTGGTGATTGATATTGTCAGATGTGATGATTTTCAATGTGTGATATAAACAAGCTGGCAAAATTAACCTCAGTTTAACTATCCTTTCTTTGTTTTTTGCCATACTGGGGATTGAACTCAGGACCTTGCTTTTGCCAGGCAAGTGCTTATGCCTCTGAGTTGCATACCCAGCCCAAGTTTAACGAACAGCACAAACTCCTTCAAGTAAACTTTGTTAGGAATTTTTGAATAAACTTATTAACAGTTGAATATGGTATTTTTCATCTTGTGCCCAAGAAAGCCAACCTGTTTTCTTTTTCCTTTATGGATTCTGAACAAACCTTAACATATTCTATTTCATATATAAACTTTTAAAAATGTATTTAGTGGGGCTGG